TTGTCAGCTCTCTGGTATTCATGAATGATAAGAACCATGAGCTGCTGTAACACCAAGAGCTTTTTCTGTAGTGAATCACAATGATGTAAGAGGTAAATAGATAAATGCCTGCATCTTTTCTTATGAAATGAGTGGGCAGAAACAAAAGGGAATTTACAGAATAATCCAAATGTCAAGATTCTCATTAATTCTTTCTTTTTTTTTGTTAAAGACTGATGAAACACAGGGTGTGCTGATATCTGATTCAACTCTGATAGTGTTTTTTTTTATATATATTACGGATGCACAATATAATCGGCCCCCTATCGGTATCGGCCTGTATCGGCCTTAAAACTGAATATCGGACATCGGCCACCCCACCGATATTTAACCCGATATTTGATCGCTTCTGAGTTTCTAAAGTCTAAAAAAAAAAAATACTACTTCTTCTTCTTCCTCAAAAACTTCTTTTTTACAGACTTAAAAACTTCAAAAGACGAGGGAAAAAATATTGATACATTAAAATATCCCAATATCTTCATATGCTGATATATTGCCATTTAAAAACACCATATCAATCTCTTTTACTAATGAAATATTGCTATATGTCATCGTTATGCTACGAAATCCCCCGTAAATTCACGAAATTTTGCCATATTTTTATATATCGATCTATTTTACTAACAAAATCTCACAAGAATTTGCAAAATATCACGAGAGTTTGTAACAGAACGATGAAATTTCACGAGATTTTGAAAGTAAAATAGATCGATACCGCGTTTTTAAAAATCTATTTGATATCAGCATATGAAAATATATTTGAGTATATTATTTTTCAAAGTGTCAGAAATGGATAACAAAACTGCTATTTTCAATGACTACTTATTTTTGTCCAGCTTTAACATCGGTATCGATATCGGTTATCGGCTACATGAGTTTTAAAATATCGGCATATCGGATATCGGCCAAAATCCCAATATCGTGCATCCCTAATATATATATAACATAAATTAACATTTCACCTACACAAAGCAAACAGGCTGTTAAGTTCCAGGGATTATTGATGGAGGAAACAGTCAAACTGAGATACATTTCCTTCAAATAGACATTAGATAGAGAAACCTATCTTCATTAACAGCATCCATGAATATATATAAATCCCAATAACTGCGGTGAAAATGACAACAGTAGACATAATGAAAATACAGACTGAAGTAATAAAAGTACACAATAACACTGAGAGTGTTTTTGTGTTTAGTCACTCAGGTGTTTGCGTAATAACTGAGAGCAGGCCTGTCCAGCTCGTTTGAATCACAAAGTGAAAGTCAGCATGTGGAGAGACAAGGTCACTGAACAAAGCCTGGGGAGAGGAGGAGGACTCTGATATGGAAAGGTGCTTTTTTTATGTCTGGAGGCGGAAATATAAGAGAGAGATACAGAGAGGAGGAGGAGGAGGAAAGTTTCTTCTAGAAGATAAATCTGTCATAGTCCACTGGTTAGACTCTTCTGTAAGGCTTTGTTGAGCTCATTTTAATTTCATCCCTTTTTCATCATTCTGGTTTTCTTCAGTCCTGCAGTTACTATCAGCTAACATAAAAATATGGTTTCTGATATTCATATATTGCCCCATTTAAATTACATTTATAGAAACCTAAAAAATGGCCCTTTTATCCATGTGATTATTATGAATAAAATTTGTTAAATCTGCAAAAAAGCTCAACAACCATTTAAACGAAGAAGTACTGTTAATCCTACTGTAGAAAAATGCATTTTGGTGAAAGGAAATGCTTTACTTTTAGATTTTAGAATAAAGAAGAAAAAAAAGCAAAATTAATTTATCTTGAACACTGAAAATATAGAGTTTATAACACTAAAAAATTGTGACAAAAACCTTTATTGTACTACTGTGGTCTAGGGATGTCCCAATCCCATATTAGTCATTAAAACCTTTAAACATAACCCTTCAAATTATAAGCCTTATATTTAAAACCTGCCTTCTTTTACAATTTTTGACCAACACGTGATGGCCGTGCTGCCAGAGTGCAGAGGTCATAGACTTTGTTTTTTTCTTTTCTTTTTTTTTTTCTCTGATCTGTCACAATGTAATTTACAAACAAACAAAATATGCAAATATTTTGTTTAATTTGCTTTTGTTCACACCCACTTATCCCTCCAGAATAGTTTAAATTAGCCATAATAAGGGGTTTTCACACACAAATGACCTGTTTTTGGCCATGTCATTAGCAGCTAGATCAAATCTAAGTTAAATATATGACAAGTCTTAAAACTTTCCTTTTTGATAAAGCTTATAGTTAGAGTGGCTCAGGTTATCCTGAGCTATCCCTATAGTTATGCTGCTATAGGCTTAGACTGCTGGAGGACATAGAGAGGCCTTTTCATCACTCTGCTTTATTCTATCTCTATTCTCCCTTTCTAAAGCATTATTAGTTCAACCTCTAACTTTATACGCTCTCTGTTTTTACTAGTCATAGTAGCTGTATCTGGTCTGTTCCTGTTTTTACAGTTTTTACCAAAGTGGGAAATTAATGCCTCACTACTTTACATTAGTTGTACACTAGTGTAAATGTTATTTTTCTGATTTATAATTGCTTCTTCGATGCTCTGTAGTTTTGCTCTGTACTTTTAAAAAAAAATATTTTCTCTCTATTCGTGTCACATGCTTCAGGACCAATTATATTGTTGTGTCACACACTGTAGGGTTGATACAACGACAATAATGGTTTATCTCATTTAATCAGTAGCCTAACTGAGGGACCTTAAAAGCCACCTTTGGCTCTGGAGCCGCAGGTCGCAGACTTAGTTTTTCTTCTGTTTAGTTCTTGTCATCTTATCATATACGTTTATAACAGTGGAGACATAACAGAGCTATTTAGTGAGGCTTGAAGACTTGAACTAATTTCTTAGTCTCTAGTGTATTAATGACGGCAGCACCAACCTAACCTGGTTATTTGTAAAAGGAGTAGATCACAGCCTTCTGAATTCATTCTGTCTGCTATTAAAATGTTTAATAACACAAGATACTGAAACAGTAATGCTCCTTAGCACTTGCCGGCTTTAAATTAGGTATCTTGAATGTCATTTTCTGTTATTTCTAAGCAAGCAAGTATAGATAGAGTTTATGGATAAAGTTTTACTCCTATAAAATAGTTTGATGAACCTGATGAACAGTGCAATATTTCTACAAACCTAATAGTCTAATATTGTTTCTATAAACGGATCAGATTGAACTGTTAATTGTTTTGTAATTTTTGGCTACAGATGTTTTGGAGTTTTAATGTAAATGTGTTTTACTCTAGAATGTAAGTTGCGCAACTCCTGCAGCTTTTTTCATTTATTCGGCCAACATAACTGATATTGGCTTTTTTGTGTGGCTTATTTCAGGTGGTATTTTAGTGCTCCTTCAGATGCATTTGCAGTTTTTTTTTTTTTTTTTTCAAATCTTTTAGGAATTTTGTCAACATACCTCATATTATTTACGTAGAGTAAAGGTACCTTTTAGGATGTTTTGATACCAAATCTTTGGAGGGGTTTTAACCACAGCAGATTTCTGGTGCAGATCATTAAAATGGATCCTGGATTGGTACCCTGGCCAGATTATAATCCCAGTCACTGAAGAGTTTGTCTGGACCCTGGAGGAATGCACTGAAAAAGATAATGCAACCGCTTTTGGCATTTACTTAATCATATTTAGTTACTTTAACACAATTGTTTTATGTCCTACCCTGTTTCCATGAAACAATTGTGTTAAAGTAACTAAATATAATTAAGTAAATGGCACAAAAAAAATTTTTTTCAGTGTGTGGGAGTGCCTGCCAGGTCAGAGTATCAATAGCAGGGGATAATCTGACATTGAACCAGCTGATTTGAGTAGAAGAATAAGAGGAAAAACAAAGTTAAAGTTCCAGTACAAAGACAAAGCAATTGTGAAGAGCTACAGCTGGACATTTGAACACCAAAGTACAGACAGAACCCCCCCTACAGACTTTCTTCTTCATGGATTTGTTCTACTCGACCAAACACCAGACGTCATTTAGACATTGGTATTTAGGCCAATCCGGTCGGTCCGTCATAGTCTTGATTTAGTCCAGAAATAGGTGTTGAAAATTGGGCTGTTTGGACGGTCTCATTTTTTCCCACTTTAGTCCAATTAAAGGTGTTGCAAACCCAGTTTTCTATGATCTGAAAATTAAACCTTTTCATCTTTCACTTTTCAATGAAATGTAGACGTCGTCTGGACGTAAATCACATCATATTTTCAATGTCCTCTCAACTAGTTTTTGCTCGGTAGGCAGTCCATTACTAGAACTGCCAAAGCAAACTAGACCAACTGCAGGTTTGAATTCCCTTATTTTAACTGTTTCCTTGAACTGATCTAATAGCCACTTGCAGTTGGACCCCATGCCATCATTAAATCCTCTTTGGGAAGGCCACCACTGTGCCACTTGCTCTGCTGGCAGTGGTTAATATTACAGCTATTCGGTCAACCAAACAAAGCCACACATAATTGCTGTAGTCAGCCTGTTATATGTACCCTACTATTAATCTGCCATGAAGCACAGCTTCAGGGGTTCAACCCTGAAACAATAGATTTCTTAGACATTAAAGCTGCGGCGCTATGAGACGAGAGGCACCATGTCTTTCCTTAGAGGGTTTAAGATTATCTACAGAGCAGAGAACTTAAGAATAAGAGCTAATGAGGAAACTGAACAATATATTGGGTATTTATCTAGAGTCCAGAAGTATTCTCCTGTCAGATCAATAATCTCGTAAGACATGAAACAATGAGGCCTGCTGGTATCTTTGGATCTTAAACTTGATTTGATGACTGAAGAGGAAAGGATCTGACATCTGCTGTCACCTTCAGTTTGTCCTTCCAACTCTACATGTCATGTATTACAATCTCTAGCCTGACAGTTGCTGTCATATAGTCTCTAAACTGTTAGTTGTTCTAGATACTATCTATGTTTGTTGAATCTATATGTTTTTCTCCATCTGTTAAGGTGAGTGCTACGTTTGTGCCTCAAACGAGCCTTACCGGAAGGTCGACTACACAAAGATCTCCGTCCCGAGCTGGAAACCCGGCGCCGGCTCCGGGACCGGCGCGTCCACCTCCAGCCGGACGTCAACGGCTTCAACCGGAGTGTCGACGAGCACCAGCGCCGTCTCCAAAGATCGGCCTGAGGGTCGAGAGAGCAGAGAGAGCAAAGACTTCATCAAACCCAAGCTGGTGACGGTGATCCGTAGCGGCGTAAAGCCTCGCAAGGCCGTCAGGATCCTGCTCAACAAGAAGACGGCGCATTCCTTCGATCAAGTGCTGGCCGACATCACCGAGGCCATCAAACTGGACTCTGGGGCTGTGAAGAGGCTCTACACACTGGATGGAAAACAGGTAGGATGCTGGTTGCTTTCTCATTTCACCAGGTGGGAAAATATCTCGCCATAAGCAATAAATCTAAAATAAAGAAAGCAAAATGATCTGAGTGAGAAGTTCCTAAAAATAGACTCTTTATTTAGGTGAGTATCATCCACTGATGGATGCAGGCATTGGAATCAGATAAAACTGTCAGCTGGTTTTACTTGTTCACAGTTTCAGACTCATATTATCTTCCCTCTCATTGATTTCTGTGGATCAGGAGTATTGATCTTTTTAAATTTTACATCAATAGTGAGTCATGCAAACATACTGTTGACTGGAGATTAGGCGAACATGTAAAGAATAGTTTATTCTTGTTTGCTTCAAGGTTTGTAAAAGGAGAGAGTCTCTAATTAATGCATGAGATGGACTTTAGTTTCACTCCTCAGCATGTTTAATGAATACAGGGTCCTGGACTTTTGTTTTAAAGGATATTTTAAGGGTTTATTTTTGTTTTCTTACCTCAACCAGGACATTATGTGAAGTCTAAGAGTCCCGTAACACTGAACAAAAAAAACAAAACCGACCCGATGTTAAAAAACAAAGGAGGGGATGGATATTGTTGGTATTCAGGAATCTATTAGGAATGAATTGTATGAAGTGCATTTTACAAGAACAGTTAAGAATTCAAAGCATTGCTAGTCTTGTTGCTATCATGATTTTCTCATTCTAGAAGCAATCTAAGTAAGTTCTTGCAATGCTTCAGGTCATGGAGGCCAAATGCATGAGCTGCCAAAATCAAAACCATGGACATAGTCATGGTCAGCCTTGACTATTACAGAAACATTTCTACAATTCAAAGCTTTTTTTTCCTCTTCAAATATTAAGATGAATGTGTAAGTTTTCCAACAGTCCTCTATAGTTACATGCTAACTTTAACTTGCCTTTAAACCAGCAGAGAGAGGAAATATTAAACATTAAAGCACAGTTTTTTTAATGCACTCTTCCTCCATCTTCCTCTACCTGAGGTCACTAGAGAAAGTGAACAGAGGAAGGTGGTACTGATAGACATACCTACAGTAATAGATAGGGGTAGACGGCTACAAATCCAGATATTAGCATTTTTTGTCTTGTATGTTGTTGGTGGATTAGCACACACTTGGAAAAAATTAATTTATCAATTCATCTTATTTTTTCTTGAATTAAGCAGGTAGTGATTGCTAATGGGATAAGACAATTTACATTTATAGTAAGAAAAAATAACAATTGTACTGTCCTATTTCAAGTCTATAATATCTAATTATCTTATTTTAAGGGTAAAAATAATGATTCAATTGGCAGATCATGTTATCTACCTACTCAAATTAAGGGTGAATGCACTCATTTTAAGAAATTTTAACTTATTTTTAGATAGTTTTTTCATTGCATGCTTGGAATTTTTTTATCCATTTAGCAGCCATGCCTTGAGATCACTAATTATAATTAATTAGTGATCTCAAGGTTAATATTAGTTAATATTTTCTTTGATTTGTTAATAACGGTTTCTTTCTGTCTAAATTAAGACTAAAATTTGCCCTAATTTTTTTTTGGTTTTTTTTGTTTAAATGGAGTAAAAGAAACATTAGCCTAAGGCAGGGGTCTTCAACGTTTTCCAGGCCAAGGACCCCCAAACTGATGACAAGATGGAGCGAGGACCCCCTAGTTATATATATTGTATGAAATTGTGTTACAGTATATCAACCTGGTTCTATAGTGACTCTATTACAGATGGAGTAATGTAATGAAAGTAATTTCTCCCTGGGATTATTAAAGTATCTCTGATTCTGGTTCCTGGTTGATGGGACAGGTGTTGTGAATGAAACGGTGTCCAGCTTGAAAGAGCTCCTGTGTGTCGCTGAATGTGTGCATTGATGATTGAAAGACATCTTCTGCTTCCATTTATCTGTTTACTACAGTGTGTTGAATTCATGTTAATGTGGATTTAAAGACATTTCAATTCAGGAGGGAATATAAAAAAAAAAAAAAATGAATCAACCAAAAGTTTCGCGACTCCCATGCAGTACCTCCGTGGACCCCCTAGGGGTCACGGACCCCCTGTTGAAGACCTCTGGCCTAAGGAATTGANATCAATTTAGCAGCCATGCCTTGAGATCACTAATTATAATTAATTAGTGATCTCAAGGTTAATATTAGTTAATATTTTCTTTGATTTGTTAATAAAGGTTTCTTTCTGTCTAAATTAAGACTAAAATTTGCCCTAATTTTTTTTTTGTTTGTTTAAATGGAGAAAGAGAAACATTAGCCTAAGGCAGGGGTCTTCAACGTTTTCCAGGCCAAGGACCCCCAAACTGATGACAAGATGGAACGAGGACCCCCTAGTTATACTGTATATATTGTATGAAATTATGTTACAGTATATCAACCTGGTCCTATAGTGACTCTATTACAGATGGAGTAATGTAACGAAAGTAATTTCACCCTGGGATTATTAAAGTATTTCTGATTCTGGTTCCTGGTTGATGGGACAGGTGTTGTGAATGAAACGGTGCCCAGCTTGAAAGAGCTCCTGTGTGTCGCTGAATGTGAGCATTGGTGATTGAAAGACATCTTCTGCCTCCATTTATCTGTTTACTACAGTGTGTTGAATTCATGTTAATGTGGATTTAAAGACATTTCAATTCAGGAGGGAATATAAAAAAAATGAATCAACCAAAAGTTTCACGACCCTCATGCAGTACCTCCGCGGACCCCCAAGGGGTCACGGACCCCCTGTTGAAGACCTCTGGTCTAAGGAATTGACAAAAAAAACCAAAAAAAAACTGGCAGCACATATCTGGGATCTGCCAGAATGATGTCAGAATAATCCAGCAGCATCAACCAAAAAAAAATCCTGTATGGATTGATTGTAATAGGAGAGCATTCAGGTAGAATTATTGGTGAATGTTTTGTCTACCAGTAATCCAACTCTAAACATTTAGAGTTCTCCTGTGAGGCAGATATATTACCACTGAGGGGCATATTTAGTCTGCGGACCTTAGTTTTGCTGAATGAGCTCTCAGAGAAAGTGGTTTGAAGACTTAGAGACTGAATAGTTATGGAGGCCCTTCTTTTTAAATCTTTGTTTGTTTAACCTTTAAAAACTTACATCATACCTCACAAAAATGCACTATTAAATGTTGGCCTTCACTAATTGTTCCAATAAAATCCATGGATTGAACTGAATGTTGTTAGAACCTGATAAAATATCTAAGAGCTTTATCTAGTGTGGATCATTCTGTAACACACTGTATTACTGTAGCCGTTTGTGTCTCTAGTAGGGCTGAAAAAAAATAATCGGATTAATCACAATTAATTGATTATTGGATCAATATCGTCAACTAATTTTGTAATCAATTAATTGTTAACTGGAGTGTAGGACTCTAAAACGTGTCCTTAGCTCACAGAGCAACCCATATAGAGCAGTAATTATAGCAAAATTGTAAAAGGAAATATATAAACATTTTGCATTTAAGATAAAAAAAATCTTTTTTTGTCTATCAATATGCTCTATCCATAACTCCTCAAGCAGAAATGTTTTAGTTTATTCTGGTTAATTACGTAAAAAGTCTTCTTTAAGGAATCTTTTGCTATCCGATTATTAATCAGTGAATTGAAAAAATAATTGACAGATTAATCGATTTGCAAAATAATCATTAGTTGCAGCCCTGGTCTCTAGTAGCCTTAGAAGTATCAACCACTTTCAAGTCATTTTCTAAATTATATTTCTTAGTTATTATTGTACTTTATAAAAAGTTTGGTCATCTTTAAAAATCAAATGACTGAAAAGCACAGTGGATGCTGACCACTTTCCCTCGTATTCTGTCAGGTTTGATCATTTTCACATCTGATAGATGATTTATTGGTTCGTTAATAACCAATTAGTTTCCCCCACATGAGAAATGAGATCAGCTAAAACCTGCTTTGCAGCAGCGGCCTCTGCTTAGCAGTGCCTTTCTAACCTCCTCACCTCGGTGCTCAGCCTCAGAATGATGAACTCATCACTTATTTCTCATTCAGTGCTTATTGGGCCGTTATTTTCTAAAGCCTTTACCCATAAAAGAGCGACTTATCTAACTCAGCGGAGTAAAACATTGTAAAATCAAACAGAACTTGATTAGAAATTAATGAATCAACACTCAGACTTGTTAGATTTGCATAATTTACCGACATCTGTACTGCATTTCTCAAAACCAATGAAGCAGAAAAATGATTTAATTATCTCATATTTTCTTTTATTGTGCAAACTTCCAGCTTATTAAATGACAGTATGTTATTATTGTATTTAAATCCTGTCCTCCAAAGGAATAACTGCGGCCTGATTAAAGTAATTTCACTGTTTCTGTTGTGTTTTAGTCCTTATTAAGAAAGATGACGGCGATAAAGAAGCTTAGATGAAGTGAAATCGAACAACAGTAGCTAAGTTCTATCAATCAGAAGGCAGAAATCAAATTAGAGGACATTACAGAGATTAGTTCTCTAAAGAAGGTTGTGGCTCTAATTTACAGTTTAAGGTCAAGCTGTGGAGTTTGGAGCTTAGAGTTTGAGAACTGCAGCAGTCAGCTAAAGTTTAGGTGTTAAACACACTCTGAATATGCTCTGATCCGCTCTGCAGCTCTTCTGACTACTTGTATTGGTTTGAGGATTTAAACTTATCACACACCGACTGGCAGAGCTATTTTTAACCGACACACCAGTTTTTATTTTTTTTAAGTCATATCAGCGAGTCGGACGAGACAATCAGAGCAGAGAGCTGAAGGAAAGCAGAGACAGCAGAAAGCTCATCAGGGCGCCGCTCTGACTGTTGATGTCGATGCAACCTCCACTTAAAAGGATAGTAAAAACAACTTTTACTGCCTTCAAAATAAAAGCATCAGTGGCTACAGTCTTGCAGCAGTCGTTTGGTTTCAGCTATAAAATCTCTGTTCAAATTAAAACCTTGCTGTAGAAGCTCTCATACGCCTGCATGCAATAAAAAGTACAATTCAGCTGTTAAAGTTTTTTGTGCAGCTTGCAGTTTTGCATGTATTTAAATCTTAATGGAGGCTTTCTGAAATGGAAATATTTGACATGCAAAGCTAGAGAATGATTGTAGATGTAGTTGCTTTGAATTAATAGGGATTTGGTAGGATTTACTTTGTACAGAAATCAATGTTCCTCTCATGATGTCATTTTGCTGCTAAGGGTTTAACCGCATCTGTACTATTATATATGAAATGGATTTAAATCAGCAATAATTAATATAAAACTGTAACCCCTATAGTTAGGGAACAAAAACAAATATATATGGGACAACTGGGATGGTTATGAGGGACAATGCGGGACAGACGCAGCTTTTTCATCTCTTTTTGGTGTTGCTTTACAAAAAGCTCCCTGAGAATCACCTTCCACTGACCTTACCCAGTTATAAACGCTTCCGGTCTTTGTTGTGGCTTCATTTTTTTTCCTTCGATGATAGTTTCCATCATATTTTGTACAAAAAGCCGTTTAATATCCAGTTTGAAGAGCATCATAACTGCAGCTCTTCTTTTGTTTGCAGGAAATTCTTTTTATTTTATTTGACCAAATCGTATTAAAAATGCAAATCTGGACATCTGGTCTCCCTAGAAGTTGTCTATTTTTTAGTATTTTAGCAAATTAATACAAATGCGGTCCAAGCAAAATCAGTTGAATGAAACTATTGCAGCAGCTAATTGATCAAAGTTGGGTTAAAATCCTAATCAACCATAGTTTGGTTTTCCTTGTTTTAAAAGGAAGGCTTTTACCTTTCAAATTAAAACCTTAAACAAATTTCTTTGATCATTTAGTTTTATCCTAAATGTAAACAAAATATTCTCCTCTCACGTTAATCCCACTCTTTTTTTTTTTTGCATAATCAGCCAAACGGAAGGAAAAATTCATACAAAGGTTTTCTCTATTTTAATGTGGGATTTTTATTTTGAAGGTCTTAGGACCTATTGAAGCTTTTATTCTGTCGGTCTCAGATGGGTGCTGCAAGGGCAAAGTGAGTGTGTGTGTGATTGTTAGGTTTGTTTGGAGAGGAAAGCCATCTCTCGCCCTGCGGCACGGTCACCATAGTAACCACTCCTCTTGTAACAGCCGAACATGAATGTCAGCTCCAGTTCCGGCATTGTTGGGTGTTCCTGTTTCCATGGAAACAACTGCTTTAACATCCATTCCAATTCAATGAAAACTTTATTTGCCTCCAAAGGGTAATTTAAGGTCACAGCAAAGCAGTGAAAGGAGACACTGCAAATCCAAAGAAATCTGATGCACAACGTTTGAACCCACAATTTTATACAGAAACTTATGCACACATACATGTAAGAGCATACATGTAATAATAAGAGTGAGGAAGAAGTACAGCTTTAGGAACAATAGTGGCCCTCCTTCCCACGGAGGCCTGGGAGCAAATAACCTGAGTTCTTATTGTAGCTCCGAGGGTGTTTGCATCCATATCTTCACGTCTAAAAGCATCTCATTGTATTTCTGCAAACACTGCCAAGTCTCCGCTAAAATCCACAACCCAGAATAACTCCTCACATGATGCCAGACAAGAGATGTTTATGTTTTCACAGGTTTATTTCATCCCCTGAGATGCTGTGAGGTTAATGTTTTAACTGAAATGCAGTCGGATCAAAGTACCAAACATGGAGACTTTAATCCACAGCTTTGAAAACTGAACCCGGGTTATAATTAAGTTCTTTTGGAAGGGCTGCTGTATAGACTGGAGACTAATATAATCCCTTTATTCTCTGGGGAAGTTTAAGGTTAGCTTCTATTTTAAACATTGGGAATAATAGTTTTTTTTTAACTACATAACAATTTACTTTAGAAGCTGATCTAATATTAATATCTCAAGCAAAGGAGGAAGAGTTTGGCTCATTTATGCTATTGCTTTTATGTTGGAAAACCTCAAAAGGACTCATTTCACAATTAACTGTCTAACCGAGCACAGAGCTGTAGTCTGTTTATTGATAAAAGAGTTTTTAACTTAATTTTTGTGGAAAAAAATATGAACCAAGTCATCATTTTTGAAGTATTGGAATCAAAATTAGATGTAATTTGTGGAAAAGGGGTATTGATCGCATACAGTATATACACATGCACACGGTATATATACAGGTATATGTATTTTCAAGTTTTTCATGCCCATAGAAGGACATTTTGACTCATTAAAGCTGAGTCAGATTGGATGCAGAGCTCATCTATGTGATTTAGGACTGGACTCTGATCTATCATGTGAATGAGCTGTGATCTGAGCCCTTCTATTGTAGCTCAAAGTCTAGGTTTTACCATCTACACTGCAAATGTCTTAAATTAAGTGTATTTACCCTTAATCTGAGCAGGTAAATGAGATGATTTACCAATGGAATTAGTATTTTTACTCTTAAAATAAGCTGTCTAGTAGGCTTGTCCCAATCCGATCCACGTATTGGATCGGGACGCCGATATTGGCAAAAAAATGCTTATCGGCAAAGCATGTAAAATGCCGATCCAAACTGCCGATCCAGTTTTTAAAAAAAAATCCGGTCCGTATTTTCCAGTTTCGCCGATTGAAACGATCCATTCCACTTTTTTGCGCCGGTGTTTCCCTGTTTTGGATTTTTATTAAAACTTACAGTAATACTTGCACCTTTAACTGTTTACGGTTTTACTGTTCACTGTGCAATTTCAGATTGCTATTCATAATTTTGTCCAGTTTGTGTTTANCCAGTATCGGTATCGGATCGGAAGTCCAAAAACAATATCGGTATCGGATCGGAAGTGCAAAAACCTGGATCGGGACATCTCTACTATCTAGATATTATGCACTTGAAATAAGACAATGCAATTGTTTTTTTTCTTGTTTAAAGTGTAAATTGTCTTGTTCAATTGGCAAAGTGTCTCACTTCAATCCTTAATTCAAGAAAACATGCACTCATTTTAAGAAAAAATGACTTATTTAGATTCCTCTATCAATAATGTTTCATATTTTGGCCAAAACGTTTCGTTTTTTAGACTTTATTTCTAGGTAGCACATTAAAGGGCACTTTTTTAGTTTTGTTCAATCTCAATCATGCACATTTTTGTTTTTGTCATGAGAAATCCAGAGGAAATACAATTTGTGGTTTTAAAGTGACAAAATAAATGGAAGAAAAATCTGAAACAATTAATCAATAGATTGGTGGAAAAGGTCGACTTCTAACTTGATAATTAAACCGAACCGGCTAGATTAATGGGACACAGGCTCTAAAACACGACATTTCTTAAGAGAAAAACTTGATTACAGTATACTTATATAGATCACTCCCATATATTTATTTTACTTGATTTAGAATGCTCTAAGAAGTGTCTTTTCCACTTATTTTGAAATGTTAATTCTCTAAAAATACACTGAAAAAAAGAATGCAACGTTTTTGGCATTTACTTAATCATATTTAGTTACTTTAACACAATTGTTTCATGCTAGCAGGATAGGACAATTGTGTTAAAGTAACTAAATATGAGTAAGTAAATGTCAAAAGCGGTTGCATTATTTCTTTCAGTGTACCTCATAGACTAATTGATTAATAGAAATATATTCAGTAGATTAATTGATACTAAAATAATTAATAGCCCTACATTTCAAAAGGCCTGATTAGTTTATACAGCAGTGAATGAACTGTGCAGCAGCTTCACATCCACCTGTTTAATCCCCTTCTTTCATTCGTCTGCTGATCCCGCTGTTCTCCTCGTCTCTCCCAGCTTTTCTCTCCCTCCCTGTTTGCTTCGTCTCTGCATAAATGTGGGACATGTTGATGAACACTTTGTACTTAATCCTCAAGACAGTCCTCAGACAGCCCTTTGTGTTTGTTGCTGCCTGTCAGAGGCTGCTGAGGAGCTGTCAGCTGCAGACATGGTTTAAATATTCCCATCTGTCCTCTCCACACTCACAAACACCCCTCAGTCACTGAATATACTGTACATCTGTGGGTTTTCTCTTTTTGTGCAGCTGACCTGTCTGCAGGATTTCTTCGGGGATGACGACGTGTTCATGGCGTGCGGTCCGGAGAAGTTTCGGTACGCTCAGGACGACTTTGTGCTCACGCATTCTGGGAAAACGGCAGCCTTCGTCAGCGGTAAGACGACATAACAGAAGTTCAGTGGAACATTTTCACCTCCACTTTTACTACTTTTTTAAATGTATTTGAATGCATCTTCTGCTGAAAATATGGTTGTGTCTCAGTGTTGCTCTGTGGAAAGTGCACAGTGGGAAGTATAGTAAGGCGCATATAAACTGCAGCTTAAAATGCATCAAACTTTTTTTTTTTTTTTTATTGCAGTTGTTCCCATTTTTATCCTTTTTTTTTTTTTGTTAGCCGCTCTTTGGATTACAAGAAAGTTTCACAATTTTTCCAGCAGTTAAACAACGAAAAGCTAATATCCTTTAAATCACAAAACATCCTCCAATAAAATGGTATTCATTTTCAATTTATCATTTTTTTTGTACCGTGCAATATCATTTAATATTGCTATCAGTAAATTTAAAAATAAATACCCTCCTTTTGTACTATAATCCTCCCAGAAATTCCACAACACATCCATTATGGGAACCTCTAAACTTCAATACATTTCTCAGATATTATACTAAAAAAACAAGATTTTCTGCAAACAGGATCATTATTTACACTTTAAATGATACCTTAAAAGATTTAGTTTCTAAATTAGTGCCCAAAGTGTCCAAAACATCATCATTCTGCTGTGATTGTTCACATTTAAAAGAAATATGTTTTACTGCAACAGTTTAATTCTGAAAATGTCCCCTTTTAATTCAAAGGAATTTTAAAAAATTATTCTTTTCCACAAAATCAACAGTATCAACGCCCTATTTTTAATTTAGTTTTTGCATTTCTAAGATGCTCAACATGTATAGAGTATTTGATCCATCCCTTCCTGTTTCTCTGGGTGTAATTGATCCTGACATACAGCTACTTCTTGCCACTGTACAAAATGGGAAAGACGAGTTAAAATACAGTTTAAAATAAAGAAATGTTGACCATAAATAACGGAACTAAAGATGTGGATCTGCTGCCAGAGCAACAGGTATACAAGTTTAAATCAGCTGGAACCGTGAGAAACAAGCCTGGATGAGAACCCAGGTTAATTTTATTGTTGCCTTAAAGTCTTATTTAAACAGGGGGGATTAAATGTGCAAAAAGAAGCATAAAGACAATATTTTTCATATGTATTTACAAATAATGAATGCTTAAAAGTCCAGAAGTATTCTTAATCAAATAGAGCTAGCTACACATGTAAATCTGCTGACCTGATCATCTGTAGAATATCTTTGTGTGTTTATACCAAAAATACTCCCAGCAGCTGCTGCCAACAGAGCAGAATCTGTTTGCTGCCAGACGTTTATCTTTCACTGATCTCTGCTTTTGCATTATACTAATATGATTCCCCTGCAGAATGCAGGACCAAATCGACTCGTCCAGCGGCTCCTCAGAAAACTCCAAAGACTCCCAGCAGCTCTGGCTTTACCTCCTCCAGGACTCCTCCTAAAGGTCTGTCCAGGACAAAGTCACCTGGTTCAGGTAGGAAGCCTTGTTATAGTAGATGTTTCTATCTGTCTGGGTTTCCTTCTCATGAATGGGGCTTTATCTTAAAAGCTGCAGGGCTCTTTGTGTTTTTAGTTTTTTTAGATGTTTGGAAGGTAGAAAGATGAATGAGATTCTTTTCTAGCCCTAAATGTGGTTAATTTAATAACCCAAGTTCAGTGTTTGAAGACTTGCAGCATGAAAATAAAAATGAATTTATGGAAAAATAAGAACAATTCTGACTGCAGCTGAGATTTGATCTACTGTTACTGTGTGGAAATATGAGTAAAGTGGGAGGTTATTGATATCCATCCATCCATCCATCCATCCATCCATCCATCCATCCATCCCTCCGTCCGTCAGTCCGTCCATCCATCCATCCATCCATCCATCCCTCCGTCCGTCAGTCCGTCCATCCNTCCATCCCTCCGTCCGTCAGTCCGTCCATCCATCCATCCATCCATCCATCCCTCCGTCCGTCAGTCCGTCCATCCATCCATCCATCCATCCATCCATCCATCCCTCCGTCCGTCCGTCCATCCATCCATCCATCCATCCATCCATCCATCCATCCATCCATCCATCCATCCATCCATCCATCCATCCCTCCGTCCGTCAGTCCATCCATCCATCCATCCATCCATCCATCCATCCCTCCGTCCGTCCATCCATCCATCCATCCATCCATTCATCCATCCATCCATCGATGCATCCATCCCTCCTGTCCGTCAGTCAGTCCGTCCATCCATCCGTCCGTCCGTCCGTCCGTCCATCCATCCATCCATCCATCCGTCCATCCATCCATTATCTAGCTGATATTTTAGCGGAAGAGATTACGATCAGTTTTTCCTCTTTTTTCCTTCTCGTAGGGAACGAGGCGTCAGGATCCCAGTCAGCTGGAAAGTCAAACAGATCCAGTCCATCTCCTACCAGTCCTGGAGCGCGACGCAACTTAAAGGTCAGGATGATGTGTGATCTCCTCATAATCTCTTTATAGTTTCTTTAATAGAATAAAAAGCATAATGAAAAACAGGCTTCACCATAATGTCCTAAAACTAAATTCTTTTGAGATGTTTTTGTCTGAAAAGCTTAATTATACTAAAGCAAACTGTTCCTGTTGAGTCACATGGAACAAACAGCATGCAAAGTAATATATTTCACTGCTGCTGCAGCTGAGTCACAATAAGGGAAACGTTTAAGAAACATGTTGCCTAATTAAAAGATATAAAATCAAATAATTACAGTTAGGAAGCTCAAACTCTGAGTAGTTATGCCTCCTGGTGGCGTCAGTACGTTACTGCAGTTTTCACCCTAGATGGCGACTTTACCTCCTGACAGAAAAACAGGTGCATTAAAATAAAGTATAAAAGTATAATAAAAAGTATAAAATAAAACTTATATGCGAAATATTCTTTGCAAATCTGATATGATATCATATTACTGCTAATAAAACTTCTGAGCCCTCAGTTGTTTTATTACAAAGCTGATGATGTTTTGATAGTTTATAAAGCTACAGGAATATCACCTCATTAAGGCCTTTAAAAAGGTAGCAGATATTTTTCACTAAGAATCTTTGTCTCATTGTTTCAGTGGAAAACTATTCAAACTAGACACGTTTTTTATATTTAAAACGTTTTGAATAAGGAGATGTCTACGTTAACATCACCATCATAGACATGGGCTCTAATAAATTATAGTTAATGAGCCATTTTAATTCCTTACATCTGTTTTCTCTTTCTAACAACCGTCACCCCTCAGATCTCTCCTCGCCGGGCCTCTTCCACGGATGTGAACGGGGAAGCCGAGCAGCCAGACGACGCTGAGGAAGGTTGGTGGTTCTGATTGTATTTTGTGCTAAAAGGTTAATTTACCATTAAGGAATTTGATCTGTCTTTCTTAAGGATCTGATTCTGGAGGCTTAAAAGCTCTGAGTTTAGCTTCTTTTATTCAGACATAAACCCACAAGGATCCAGGAAACACTATGAAAGGAAACATCATTAATAACCTTTGAAACTGCAGAATGTTTGCTCTAATTTTGAGCTTCATGGGGAAACCCTAATTATTCATAAAGCTTATGTGATAAAATGTAAAGATCAAAGTTTCTTCTTTCTTTCAGTGAACGGAAACCGGTCCGTCTCCTCCTCCATCATCAACGAGAAGTACAAGGTGGGGAAAGTGATCGGAGATGGAAACTTTGCTGTGGTGAAGGAATGTGTCGAGAGGTAAACCACCCTGCTAAGAGTTAGAAAATCTATCAAATCGCTTTTTATTAAAATCATTGATTAGAAAAAAACGTTGCTGCACATTTGTCAAACAGGGCTGATATTTTCAATCAATTTTCTCTTTCAAATAACTTTTTATTGCAATATCCTATTGGGGAGAAAGCTTAAAAGATTAAATATACTAATAATTTATCACAACAGGCTATAACAATGTTGTGTTTTTCATTAAACTGACTGGTTTTACCTGCAGGGCGACTGGACAGGAGTACGCGCTGAAGATCATCGACAAAGCTCGCTGCTGTGGGAAGGTAGCCCAGATTTTAAAAAAGTATTCTTCATTGCTCCTACGTAATACTACATCTTTCTAAGAAACAAAAATGTATTTATTATCTTCAGCTTTAGGCAACTATTATCAAAACTGGCGATGATATACATCTCTGAATTGATGGAAACCTGACCATGTGTTTTACACCAACAGGAACACCTAATAGAAAACGAGGTGGCGGTCCTGAGGAGGGTCCGACATCCCAGCATCATTCAGTTAATCGAGGTGGATGAGACGCCCACTCAGCTGTTCCTGGTCATGGAGCTCGTTAAGGTCCATTGATTAAACCTAATAAAATAAATCAGAGCTTTTTCTAAATAGGGGAAAACATGCATGCTTAGATGCTATTAAAGTTTGGACGGCTTTAAATTGTTTAAATGAAGGAAAAACTGAAGTCGTCGTGTTGCTTTTGCTAAATCTGAGTGTGATTTTAGACACTTTAGATATAAGAAGCAGATTAATTCTACTGTAAATAAAAGCTTTTTTTGCCCCGCAGATAAATATCTAATATTAATTCAGTGCTAAACAGACCTGAATTAAAGAAACAGGCCCATGATGTCATTACAACCCATCTAGATATTTGCAGTATGTTTGGGTTGAGCAGATTTCCCTTTCAAATTTAAATTTAGTTATGTTTCACCAGTTTTATCTCTTCTTTTCTCCCTCTGACTCACAAGGAGCCACTAAAGAAAAGATGCTAAACTGGACCTACTATAGCTGCCTAAATGGACCCTATATCTCTCTGATGCTTCGCAGCCTTACTTCCTGTTAACCAATAGCATTAGATCCCTTCTTTTTGTTTGTTTTTTTTGCATAATTGCGATTTTGTTTTTTCAGTTGTGGTTCCAACTCTAGAATGCTCCCTGCAGATAAGACCGGCTACTTTAACTCTAGTTTTTAAGCCTCCTTCAAAAACACTGTTATTTAACCTGAACCGTTGCTGTGTTTTTGCTGTGTTTGAAGGGAAAATACTGCGCTGATGTTTTTTATAGCGATAATTTGTCATGTTCTTTCCTTCAGGGAGGCGATCTTTTTGACGCCATTACCTCCTCCACAAAGTACAGTGAGCGTGACGCCAGCGCCATGGTGTTCAACCTGGCCGGAGCCATCAAGTACCTGCACAGGATGAACATCGTCCACAGAGACATCAAACCAGAGAACCTGTTGGTACAGAAACTTTTTCATCAACCCATTTTCATGTGAATCACTGCTGAAGATATATATATATATATATATATATATATAAAAAACACCAATTGTTTTTTTTCTACAGGTGTGTGAGTATCCTGACGGCACCAAGTCCCTGAAGCTGGGAGATTTTGGTTTGGCGACGGTGGTGGAAGGTCCGCTGTACACCGTCTGTGGCACGCCGACATATGTTGCACCAGAGATCATCGCTGAGACTGGGTGAGACAGTAAAAAAGGATTTATTTCCATAGTTATGTTCATGCAAGTACTCTATTTTTTAGACAATAATAGGTTTTATGAAAATACTACAAATTAGTTGTATTTAAACAAAGATTTCTAATGAATTTCTGCTCCATGTTTCAACATCTTTTATACAAAGCAAATAATTTATAAAGCGGCTTAAAAATAAAACACTTTGATTGTTCCAGTGGAAATGTCATATTTATCCTTTTCATGTATTGGAAACTTGAAAGATTTATTAAAAAAACAAGTTTAATTTAGTATTTTTTACCAGCTGATGCCAGTGTCCTGGTTAACCTTTTAACTCTTTCCGTCTCACTGTTCTAATGAACATTTAGTGTACATATAAATCCTATTCATTTCCACTGATCTAATACGTGAGGCTCTGTTTTCTTTTTTCCTGCAAGATAATCATCTTGGAGATATCAGTGTCTCCTATCAATTTTATGCAGATAATATTCGGCTATTTTGCTTCTTAAAGAAATATGTTTTAATCAAAGGGCTGATTTACTGTCGGCCTAAAAGTAAATATAAGTGGGTTAAGAAATAGTGCCATTAAGCTGAAATCTGAACAGACACAATGTTACATTATTGCCCATGCGTTCATGGTTCCTCTGATCTAAGCCACCAATCTAAAGTTAAAAAAATAAAGTGGGTTTAAAACCATCAAGTCAATGCCCTTTAATGGTCACCTCATTATATGAGGATTACTTTCAAAGTGTCAAAAATGATCTTGAAGTGTTTCTTCTGATCCTATTTAGTGTAATCGGCACAATTTTTGCAGGCTTTTCACATATATGGACTAAAAAATTCTTGATTCCCTTTAACTCTTCCAAATACCTTTGTTCTACATGAGTTACATGAGTCCAAGTCAACTACTATGTTGTCTTCCCTTATCTCTTTACAGTGGAGATATTTTTATATCTAAAGGAAACTTCTTATGCTCTTTTGTACTACATACATTCTTTTTATATTGTCTATTGCGTTTTTATCTTTAATGGCATCTTGCTTTAACTCTGCCTTTTGTACTTTCTACGAGCTATTGCAACCAGAATGTCCCTGAAGGAGTAATCCCAAGGCATAAATAAAGTTGAGTCTAAAGTCTAAAGTTACTCTGAACAGGAAAGACCTTCAGTCACTTCAGGACTTTCACGGACAGTTAGATGTAAATATATGAAGAATAAAGTCGGTTATGAAATAGGAACCGTTAATGTCCAGAGAGATTCACTGTGAGTTAGTTGCTCACACACATGAAAATGTATCACTAATAATCCTTAAAAGTTTAGTTATATATATTTAGATATATTTATTTAAAGATATTTCATTTTTTAAGAGTTGGCTCAACTATTTTTTACAAGATCTATTGCTAAATTAAAATATTAAACTTTTGGCAATTTTTTTTGCAAAACTTTTAAAGCTAAAAACATACATACGGTTAAAATTAGTGAAATGATTCAGCTTTGCTTTTTCTAAGCAACTGAAAACCACATATGGTCTTATTTTAACTGAAATATATTTTTTAGATTGGAGATGAAATATTTCTATTCACTGGAAGAAATTAAATCTAGTCCGTGTATCTCCGGTTGTTTGTTTTATTAATAAAAACGCATATAGAAATGCAATTATTTTTATGCAGATACATTAAAACATGATCAGCCGCAGATAACATCTGGTATAGATTTCTTTTGGGGAAGATTTTATTTTATATAATCTGCTTCAAGACAATACAGCCTTTTTTTTAAATGTTTTATCTAATGTAACTTGGATGAAATGGTTTACCTTGAACTCTCTGTTTTGTACAATCATTTATTTCATGTATTTTGTAATTAAATTAGTTGTTTTGGGTTAATACACAGTTAGGTTGATGTTGTTTCCCTTTGTGTGTAGCTACGGTCTGAAGGTGGACATCTGGGCTGCAGGAGTCATCGCCTACATCCTGCTCTGTGGATTCCCTCCTTTCAGAAGGTCAGCTGTAATTCAGTCAGGAAATTAAAAAAAAAAAATCGACTTTTTATACTGTCTACTGTAGATAATTATGTAGGATCTTTGAATAAATTGTCTGTTTTTATTGTATGTTAAACAGTTTGAACAAATGTTACAGTTCATAGTTGACTCAGTACTATTTATTTGACACTTTAATAAGAACATTGCTTGGATTATAAGTTTTATAGACTTTCTATAGACTATAGACTGTCTTTTAAACTGTTAGTCCTTTAAGGAATTCATTTAACTTTCCTCAGTGAGAATAACGTCCAGGAGGAGCTGTTTGACCAGATCCTCAGAGGGAAACTGGAGTTTCCATCTCCAGACTGGGACACCATCAGCTTATCAGCAAAGGTGATGCACACTCTTTTATTCCTAAATGAACGTTATAACAACATTTTAAACTGTACCGGGATTTGAGCTGATCAGTTTCTTACTTAAATGCACTCAGTTTATTGTGATTTGTTTTTTTTTTGTTGTTTTTTTGTTGCTTTGTAAAATTTCTGTTGATTTACATCTCATTCAGTGTGATTAATATCACCGCAGAAATAAGGAAAGAAATATAATGATCTTATTATTTATTTTGTTTCTGTTTGCATGGTGAACATAAGGAGCAGAAAATAATAAAAAAATGAAAAAAAATAGAAACTTTGATTATACAATAAAACAAGCACATTTTCCTTTATTTAGATGTGAGCTGATAATATTACTTTATTTACTTATTTACTTATTTAGTTTATTACTTTATTCTAAATCCTCAACACGGTAAATTTGACATACTTTCTAAATTTTAAAACATTTCAGCTTGTACATGCCTGGGTGTGTCTAATGCTCTCGCTGGTGAATCGATAAGAGCACCAAGACTTTAATAATTTTATTCTAAGTAAAAAAACACTTAAAAATCTCTGTCTACCAGATTTCATGACATGATGCCAGTTTACAGCTAAAATAAAAAAAACTGAAAACTTTTAGGCAAATTATTGAAATCAGTTTACCTCACTGTCATCAAAGTAAAGTCTCTTTCTTTAAAAATATATCATGAACAAAGAAGCTTTTATAGTATAATAAACGAGTCAATGTAAAGGTTAAATAATCCAGTGTTGCTAACTGTTAGGATCCGGGGCCTTGCCCACCAGAGGGCGCTGTGGATCCATGCCTGGGGAGCTTGGGCTCAGCATGGACAGCTGAACCGGATTGTTGTCTTTCCTGTGTCACCATGCCTGTCTGAACCAAGAACCTGCAGAACCCTGTGTGTTCCAATAAATATTGGACTTTTAATCCTCCCTCTGTGTCTGTGAGTTCTGCATTTGGGCTAGTAAAACCTGCGTTTCGTGACACTAACAGCAACATGATATAATCCTCAGATGCTGATCAGCCAGATGCTGCAGGTGAACGTGGACGCTCGCTTCACTGCTGAGGAGGTCCTCTCTCACCCCTGGGTGACGGTAAGAAACACAAACTGTTTGTGTCACACAGGTGCAGTACTTTGCTACGTGTCATGTCTTCATGGTGGTAGCAGCTCATAAAAGTTATTTTTTATTATTGCTGTAGGATGAGGCACCAGGAGAGCCCAACACTGTGAGCGAACCTGAAGATCACGTCAGCGAAGACGCACAGGAATCAGATCGTGAATCTCCAGTCCTGGAGACCAAACAGGTTCCCTCCCCGCTGGTCTAGCTCACCCCCCCTTTCATTGTGAACCATCCACCCCCCCACTCCAAGACCAACACCATCCAGACTGGAGAACAAGTCTATCCGCTAGGATTCAAATAATCCACGCTTCAAAATCTCCGTTTATCTACCAGAAACCATATTCATATTTTCTGACCTGCTTCTTCTCATCTTTTGGGAAGTAAAACAAATACAAATTAACTTAATGTAATTAAAGCTTCTGGAACAATCTAGAAAAGTTATGTTCCTTTAATAGTGGTGAATACATATCAGGTAACGTCCTCTTAGATATAAACCCGATCAGTGGGTTTAAATCAACAGTTTTTCTGGATTTCTTCCATATATCTACAGTATTTCCTCTCAGCTCTAATCAGAAGTATCAGATAATGTTAAAAATTCAGCCATATCTATGCATCATTTGTTAAATGAAATACCGTATTTTCCAGACTATAAGCGTCTACTTTTTTCCCCACACTTTGAACCATACGGCTCATAGAAGGTGTGGCTTTTCTGGATCTTTCCTAACTGCCAGAGGGGGGGTGTAAAAGTTGAAAATGAAAGAATAACGGGCTAATCTTCATCTTGAACAAAAATATGCAACAGGTACCAATGGCGTAATGACACAACAATAAGAAACATTATCGGGCAACCTTGAGCTTCACAGCTCCCCTCCTCACCCACGCTCTCCCCATTTATCTCCTGGTCACAATCTTTACTCCCTGTAACAGCAACATCTCCTTCTCCCTCTTCGGTTCTTTGAAATAACGTGTTTATTTTGGAAGTTTTTTCCATTTTTCCAGCAGCTCATCTTTCCTTTTTCTTTTCTGGAATCTGCTTTAGTACCTCATTTTGGTAACCATTGTCGCTAACGCATTGTACGAAACGGTTATGGTTTCAGTCAACACTTTGGATTACCCATAATTCCAAGTCGTAGTGTAAAAAATGAAATACTCAAATACATCATTCTCTTAAGATCTTTATTGCGGTTTGAAACATATTATGTGAGTGTATTTTTTACCAACCGTCTAATGAACTATACACAGACCATAGTAGGGGTGGAACGGTTCACAAAATCCACGGTTCGGTTCGGTTCACGGTTTTCGGTTCGGTTCGGTATATGTTGATTGTTAGCCTGACATGTTGGTCATGTTGCTGTTAGCATAAACAAAACGTGTTGCACAATGCTTGCACACTGTTGCACTTTTATCCACAATTTTTCTTTCCGCCGTCATCGTAGGTCACTCTAAATGCAAAGTGGTCCCATACAGCAGACCTATAAAGTGCTGCTGGCGCGTCTTCCAACTCCTGTTCTTTCGCACTCGCCATACCCACACAATTCTCCACAACAAGTGATTTTTTTCCCCTGCTACACCCGGCTACGCTGCTTCGCTTCTTCTTCTTCTTGTTTACTACTGCTGGTTGGCTTTGGTCGCAGTACCGCCACCTTCTGCTCTGGAGTGTAAACGCTTCGCCTATGAGAAGAAGGAGCAGCGCATGAACCGAACGCAACACACGCGAACCGCACCGAAACAGTTGAACCGAACGGTTCGGACGGTTTTCATAAACCGTTCGATCCCTAGAATATAGTAATTAAAAATAGCACTTGGTGTGGTGTTAAAACGGTTCACCATCATGTTGAAATCTGGGATGTGTTGCGGTATAAATATAGTCCGGTGCGATTAGAAACTTCAGTATCCCGTGGGTTTAAGAGACATTTTTTGCACCATTACATGTGCAAAGAGACGTCCTAGTCGACAGGGGGCCAACCAGATGTCAGTTATGGGCAACTGCAGTCTCTGCTACCGATATTTACGCCATTGCCAGGTACGACAGGGAACATGTGCCGAATTCACACATTTTGACATTTATTTGCTGCATTAAAGAAGCCGAACCAATGAAGACACTGAGCTCAACTCCTGCAGAGCTTCAATGAAGACCTGACAGAGTTCCATCTTTCAGTAGAAGCTCTTAATACTGCGAGCCAGTAAAGTAACGGGAGCTAGCATTCTTCTTCTACATCCTTACTCCAGGGGCTATGTTTAGAGCTCCCCCTACAGGTTTGGTGGACGACAGCTAAGTAGATGTCAGCAGCTTATAGCCTGATGCAGATTATATATGTACATTTCCATTATTTATTTTGTGGGTGCAGCTTATAGTGAGGTGCGCTTTATAGTCTGGAAAATACGGTAATTTTTCCCTTTATTTCAGCAGCTAAGTAAAATTATCTGCTTTGGTGCAAAGATCCATTAGCAAATCATTTTGCTTACCTGCTCTATTCAAGTGCAAAAACACTGTTCTCAAGAGTGTTTTACTCACTTAAGTAGTGAAAAGTTCACTAATATCCCACAATCTAAACACATGGTGCTTAAAAACTGAACACCTCTGAAGTCAGCTCCAGAACATCTTACACCATAGGTCTAATTTTTTATTTTTTTTTTTTGTCTGATCTGTTTGAAAATAATCAAATACCCATGAATTTAGCTTACCTGGTTTATTTTCGATCACATTTGACTCTAGGTTCACTTTCCCAAACCTATTTAGAGCGTAGCCTTAAATCCGTTTCATTTTGGACACAGCAAATCCTGTTTTGTTTTTTTTTTACAACCAAACTAAACAAAATACAATTAATTTCCTTTGGTTTGAATTTCTTTTTTTTCACTGACATGGTGGTTCCTGGTTGTTTATTCCCCTGGAAATGGTGCACCTTCTCCAGTATTTTATCCAGTTTATCATGCGGTTTATCTCCTGTAAACTGTCTCCATCCTCTGGTCCAGAGCTGGTGCCATCATCCTGATGGTTTTGCACAAAGCCCGTCTCTGCTGCTGACGGGCTCCGTTAAAAAGGCACTACTCCTTCCTTTCTGACAGACACTGCAGAAAACAAACCCTGCTGCTTGAAGGACTTCCGTGAACACAGGGACACCATGAAGGTGCTACCGGACTCATCCGATTAGACTGCATTTTCTGGAAAAAATTGCCATGGTTGATGTTCCACCTCTCATATGAACAGAACTGAGGTTTCATGTGTGAAAAAGGGATCAGGCTCTGATACAACTACAGGAATACTCACAGCCGAATCCTTTAGAGCTGCTCTGAAGTTCCTGGAAAACCAGGATGTCTTCCATTTATTAGAAGATGTGTCCCGTTTCTTTCTCCACCGTCTCTCCGTCGCTGGGCTTAAAGACTAATTTCTTCTTTGTCGTTTTACGATCCACCAGCTGAGGAGATTTCTGAGCACTGTGCCTGTTTGTGCAGCCGATTCAGTCATTCCTAATGTTTCTAAAACATCATATCCACTCATAAGTGTCATTGTTTTGCTTTTTGTGATCTTTATGAGCATATTCCTGGCAAGAAATCTCTAAAAGTATCTCTCCAGGAGAAATACTTTTTTTTTTTTTTTTTTTACATTTGTGAATAATTGTATTAACTAAGGTTTAAATGATTGTGAGAATAATGTGATTTTATTTAACTTTTATTTAAGTCCCAATAAGGTTTAAAAACCTATTTTTCCAGTAAGTCCTGGAGACTGGGAATAATGAATAATGAAAAGGCAGCAAGTCCTCTTTGATTTGGGTTTTGACTTTCACTTAAGATAGAAAAGTCAGAACAATGACCCTCGTCCCTCAGAACATCGGCACGCTTGCATTACGTCCGTTTATGTTGCCACTTGAGCTGAATCTCATTTCTTACCTATATTCTTATGCTCAGATTGTGTCTTTGACACTTGGTTTGAAGTCCTTGATTGTAATTTCCCTGGAAGGATTTGGACTTTTTTAAGAAGCTGATTTATGCACATAGACAGAGCAAATGTCTCTTCCTATATTTCATGCTGCTTGTTGTCTAGCATTCACCAAACACATCATACAAATGATTTTTAATCCTTCTTAAACCCCAAACAGAATATATAAAAAACTACCCGATATACATTAAAATGATCTGTTTAAAGTCATAGATGATTCTAGTATTTTATACCGATAGTATTTATCCATAGATCCAGAACAGGCCTTGTTCTCAACCTAAGTTCACATAATATTGGGGTGAATAGAGCCTTATTGTTTGCTCTATCTAACATTGTACAATTAAGTTCAGTTTATTTATATAGTGCCAATTATCATCACGTTATTTTTACAGAGACAATTAAACCAGATTATACAGTCTTAACTAATTAAAAGTTTTCTATCTAAAGAAAACCAGCTGATTGCATCGACTCATTGACTTGAAAGCAAACTAGTTTTATTATTATTATTTAATATGTAATTCACCTAAAATCTGCAGGCTAATACTTTTTGGGCTGTTTGAAAGAAATGTAATCATTTTTTCTGTCGCCCGGATGGTAAAGCTCCCAATGAGTGGTGCAGGATTCCTTGCATCCTAAAAAGGGTGATTTGCTTTTATCACTTTAGAGGTTTGATCTAAATATGGAAAAATTTAGGTTACATTTCAAAAAAACATTCACAAATGTTTTGCTTTTTATTATTTGATTTAAAGGTAAAGATCAATTTCCTTTCAAATAAATTTTTATTAAATGATGTCATATTCTATACACTGTGTATACCAGGGGTCACCAACGCGGTGCCTGCGGGCACCAAGGGGCCCTCAAGGACCACATGGGGGGCCCTCTTCGTCTTCTGAAAACAGAAGAACTCACTCAGTGGGTTAAGTTTAATTTTTTTTATTCTGTTGCTCTTCTTTTTAATCATTTATGTATTATTTCATCATGTTAACTATTTCATCATATTTCAGTGGTTTCAAAATTACAATATAAAAAAGAAAATTAGAAATGAATAAAAGAATAAAATAAGAATAAAAATTAGTTTTTATGGATGAGATTTACTGTAGGTGAACACACTGATCCCTCCAGTTCATAGGTCAGTATTGGTAGCCCTTCCTATGACTCGGTAGCCATGAACCCCTGGTGTATACAATATGACAATAAAAGTTGTTTAAGTCTAATATTAAACCAACATAGAGTTTTAATGACTGAAAAGGAACCCATAAGAATACACAATAAGTTCAAAATCCTAAATTTGAGCCAAACTTTTGCTTCAGGTTTTGGTTGAGTTATACAGACAAAAATATATATTGACTCAACACAATTTCAGATTAAAAGCTCTAGCTTCTGAGATGGGATCTTTATCAATACAAACAATATTTTCCTTGATTTAAAATATAAATCAAGGAAAATAGGCTTGATTTTTATAAATTATAAGTTAAACATGTCATTTTCTTATGGAATGTAGAACTTTATCTATTAAAATTAGCAGTTTAAGCTGTCTGTAGTACAGTTTAAAAGGACACAAATATTTAAATACAACCAAAAATGAATGTAAATCAATTCCAAAATAATGTTTGCGACCAAACAAGGCATTAAATCTCCTATTTTTTACATTTTGCAAACAGATGTAAAAGTTTCACAGATAATTTTTTTATTAAATAATCCATATTTACTGTAGCTAAAATGCATCCATAAATTAATCCTAATGATTAAAAGAAAGCAAAGTAGAGCTCTTTTTCCAAACTGCTGAACATTAAACCAAAACGTTTGAAGAACAAAGAGATGACAGAATAGGATGGTGGGAAATGGGATTCAGCCTGAGGATCGTCTTTAACCTCTGGTCCAGGATAAGTTTTACCCCCCCCCCCTCTTCATACCTTTACCTACATCCAGACTTTTCCATTGTACCGGTACTCCCAATCCAGTGACGTCCAAACCTTTTTTATTACGTCGGAAAAAATCCAAGCATGGCTCTGAGGTTCCTGCAGTAGGACTGAATTTAAAGGCACAGTCCAGTCCAAACCCTGAGCTCTTTGCTTCTCATTTTATATCATTTTAGATAAAAAAAACAAAATGATAAGATGCTGTAAATAGTGTAAATACTGTTCTTGTCTGTCGGTATCTGTGTGAGTCTGTTGTGAAGTAGAAAAACAGTAGCAGATTGAACAATAAGTAGTGTTACAATGAAAAGAACAATAGTAGATGCGTGGTGTTGGCACCCGCAAAAGAATCCTACCTAAAGACTTAATTAAGCAATGTTG